GATTTCTCGCTTTTTGTCTCTCTGTCTCTCTCTGCCTCTCTGGTGAGCGCACGCGCCTTACAGCAAAAATCTCTCTCAAAAAAAAAAAATCACCTGACCCTAAAGATAAGGGTTTATTTCTGGGTTCTTGTTTCTATTCTTTTGAACTGCTGAATGCATGCCTCTCTTTTAGTCAGCAACACACTGTTTTGATTACTGTGGCATTATATTAAGTTCTAAAGTGTTATAGCATAAATCCTCTGATTTTCTTGCTTCAAATGTTTTGACTAGTTTAGATCCTTTACAATTCCATATAAATATGATGATTAGCTTCTTAATTTCTACCAGAAAGCCTGCTGGAATTTTTATAGGGAATGTATTGATGTATAGATCAATTTGGGAAGAAATGCCATTTTAATATTTAATCTTCTAAGCCATGAAAATGAAATTCTCTTCATTTATTTTGATTTTCTTTCATTTCTCTCAACAATGTTTTGAAATTTTCAGTATATAAATCTTGTGCTGATGGGCCGGCAGGTGGCATGGTGGTTAAGGGCGCTGAACTCCCACATGGTCGACCACAGTTTGAGTCCTGGACCTGGTGGCTTGCTTTCTCTCTCTCTGTCCCTCTCTGGTCAAATTAAAATAAATAAATAAAATAAAATAAATGAATAAAGTTAAACAAAATAATTCTTTTTAAAAAAATAAATAAATCTTGTGCTGCTTGTGTTGACTTTACTTTACTATTAAGAGGATCATATTGGGGTCAGCAGGTGGTGTGGTGGTTGAGGGCACTGGACTGCCATGTGGCCGAATGCGGTTTGAGTCCTCGACCTGGTGGCTTGCTTTCTGTTAAATTTATTTATCTTTATTTCATTGTAAATTTATTTTTATCTTCAGATTGTTCATTGCTAAAGTATTGAAAAGATTTTTAAATTTTAGATAGAATTCACATACCATGAAATTGATCTTTTTAGTGTCCAATTCAGTGTTTTTAGTATATTCTCTGGCAAGCACCTGTGTACCCTCTGCCAATTAAAAAAAAAGTATATAAAAACAATTACTTTTTATACATTGATCCTGTATCTTTTACTTTATTTTTTTTGGCAGTCCTGAGTTCTTTATTTATTTTTAACACCTATTATACCAAAAATTCATATGGAATAGGTTTCAGCCACTCAGGTTCCTTTCCACTGGTTCTTACAAAGTGTGCTTCTATGGTAGAGCAGGTTGGTGCTTCAGTTGAAACTGGGTACCATTCTTCTTGACTTCTTTCTTTTTCTAATCATTTTTATTCACAGGTTTTAGGAAGCTATTTCTATTCTTAGAGTGTTCTCAATATGCACATTAATTCTGTTGGCAAGTATCTTTCCCTTAACTTATTTGTTTACAGCAATGTCAGCAGGATGTTGGGTAACTTGTAGCCTCTTCTAGTTTTGCCATGGTAACATTTGTGGAGCATTCTTTTTTTTTTTTTTCTCTTTTTTTGGAGAGGTTTTTGCTATAGGGCGTGTACGCTTGCCAGACAGACAGAGAGAGACAGAGAGACAGAAAGCGAGAAATAACCCCCCAGGGGGGATGGCCATGCTGCAGCCCCTTCTCCTCCATTCTCTTCTTGGGATCTTGGGCACACACGCACATGCACACGCTCCCGGCATGAGTTTAAGCCACCGGGTCCGGGACTCGAACCGCAGTCGACTACGTGGGAGTCCAGTGACATAGCCATTACTCTAACTGCTGGTCCCTGGAGCATTCTTTTTTGAACACTACCTACTCCCTTGATGTCTACAGTATCAACTTTCTTGTAGATTCACACATACATCAACAAAGGAACAACTCCACATTTTATTAAAGGCCTAGAGAGCATGTATTGGGTGCC